ATTCAATGATACATGGAGCCAGATCCTCAGCTATAATTCTGAAATTGCTCAACTAAAGAATATTTCTGCATATTGCTGTAGCAACTTGTATTGAGTTTTACTTGGATGATTTATTAAATGAATAATATTACCCTTATACTACATTTGGCACAGGTGAAAGAAAGATTGGCTAGATCCTCAGTTGAAGCAAATTGGCATCACTCCAGAGAAATCAACTAGCTAAGGATCTGGCTCTATACATGGTTGACTTCGATGGAGCTACATCAATTATATAACAGAACAGAATGGAGATTGATTATTCAGTTATACAAAATGAGAGACTAGACTGTCTGCAGCATTTCCTAGCCCATGGCACGATGCTTCTTGAAGTGAAAAGTATGCCAGGCTTTGGAATTTTGACTCAGGTATGCCATAAAATGCTGCAATAGATCAGGATCAGCTCTGCTGTGCTTAGTGGCAATGAGCTGTATTCTATTTTTTGTATATCGTCCTATTTCCGTTCCCTTCCCATGCCTTTTCTACTTTAAAAAAGATAAACATAGCTAAACAACAAATATAAAATTTATGATCACAAAGGACAGAACTAGACTATAAGAAAAGGGGGAAATATTCTCTATATTTTCTGGTCATGCACATGGTGTTTTCATCCAGAGTTTCAGAGGAAGATAATTTTGATTTTGCCAATCATAAGGATTGTTCTTGCAAATGGTAACTACCAAGTGTAGTTTTCACTAGCAAAAATAATCCCATACATGGGCACATCTGACTGCATTTACCAGAGGCACAGATATGGAAACCATGCCCCAAACCAGTTCCCTGTGCACACCTGCCAAAACAGAGAAGAATATGGTGTGAGCATACAAGAAAGTTGGGCTGCCTTTATCACAGCCTATCACACTTACTTGCTTTTTTCAGACAAAGGGCAGAATCAAATTGTACATATTGCAATATAACAATATTTAAGCATGTGATTTTAGAATAGACTAAGAGGTTTACCACTGTGCTTCTTAACCTTTATTGACTGAAGTTAGATATGGACCAACGCCTCAAAATTCAGAGCCAGGTATCAACATCGAGATCACATTCATCCCTGGTTGAAGTTAATGGCATGACATCACAGATACATTGAGTCCTAAGTTTCCTGAAGTTTAGGGTTTCAGATTCAGTACTTTGGTTTAATTTAAATCAGAACTTTAGTGTTATTTGGTTTTTATTAACTCCAATTTGTTTGATCTTTTAACATACCTCATAATAAAAAAGCCCTGCAAAAACAAAACAAAACAAACAAGCAAAACAGAAAACCCTTCTACTGCTAGTCCCCTTCCACTTGAATTGCCATTTGGCTGCAGGTTGACATGATGCAAACAGAGTCACTGATTTGTTCGCAGTTCCATCATGTGAAGATGTTACTAGTTTATCGTTCAATATTTTGCCAAAATTTTGTGATATGTTATGATACCACTTAATACAGCATAAGCAAAATATATTTCAGTGCATAGGCACTATATTAAGTATAGACAGGATACATAGAGCCATGCTTAGTCTGATTGGTAGCACTGCAAATTTTGCATAGGTAGAATACTACACTGACACATAACAATGTCTTTTTCAGACCAGTTTGAAAGTATAATAACAAGGCACAGAACAGACAACAATCTGGTGTTATTGAATCTGTTACATTTGAGTAATAGTGGAAGTACAATGATTTTATACATCTAAACCCATTTCCTCCCCTCCTCCCAAATGGTAACTAAAACCAGCTAAATATCTGTAAATAAAAGTTTGGAAATTATTTTAAAAAAAACTATCCTTGATTTGAGGGTTTCTGTGACAAATTATGGCCTCCAGGAAAATAAAACAAACTAATTATCTGAATCCCTTGAAAAGAGGGATTATAATGGTGTTGGAAATGTTTATGCAGCCTGATTTTAGCCTTGCTAGTCCCTCCTTTCCTAAAGGATACTCAAACGTATGGTATTAAAGATCCCTTGGAAGAGTATTTTGAGGTGTCTGTATGAAAAAGGTAATGTTCATCTTTTAAGGTAAGACAAGACTCGTCTCTTCGCTGCAATCTCTAAGGCTAAAAGGTTATGTTTAGTTGGGCCTATTGCAGTCATTAATGGATTGGTGTTGGATTAGCCTAGATTTTTATGCCTGCACATCTTTCTTTGTTCTCTCCCATAGTGTGGCATGTGCGTGCTGTCTTGAGTAGGTTGCTTCCTTCTCAGTGCCTCTGATGCACAAATTACTTTTTGCATTAAGAAGGAGATTACTTTCTATCTATCTCCATCTTTAAGGTACTGTAGCAATTCAAATTCTGGCCTTGGGTTTAGTGTCACACTTCCATGGCCCAATCCTTCAGATCACACTGAATTAGGTTTGCTAAATTCTGTTGCCAGCAGAGTGCTTTCCCCCATCCTCATCCCCATACTTCCACCATGATGCCTATAATTCCCTTCCCCTCATCATCAGATCTCTGCCATCATGCCGACGAAAGACTATCAGCTGATAGTGACTATAACACCTAGTGAGGGGACACCTCTGCCTGGTATGCAAAATATTCATTTTATTGTTGCCTTGTCCTCCCACTCTCCCATTCCACAATTTGTCTGTTGCATCCATCTATCATAAAGAGATCCATCTAGATCCATCTAGACTGGAGCCCAGACTATGTATTTATACAGTGCCTATCCCAGTGATGTCCAGCTTCTGAGGTGGGGTTCCCTAAGTGCTACTATAACACAAATAATAAATAATCATTATCATCCTCCTCCTCATCACCTCCTTGGATGTCAAAAAGGCTCTAGAGAGGGTGAGTTTGCAGAATGTATGTTTGATGCATAAGATTTTATTTTTAAATGTTGGGGGTTCTGTGCAAGCTAGGTGAAGACTGTTAAACATCCCAGGACATGTTACTACAGGTAACATTAACAGAGATGTCTGCTATGACCTCTTCTCTTCATGGTACTCAATATGCTGCACACTTTTGCCATGATAAGCCACTTGTGAAAGTGGACTGTGAAGTGAAAGAAATTTCCCTTGACAAAGTCACTATGGTAGATGCAAAATAACTAACTGATTAATAAATAACTTTCATTATGGGGAGGGTGTGTTGAAAATAGAAACATGCATGGAATTAGACAGAAACCTTGAACATATACACAAAATCAAGACTGATTGGAACTCAACTTGTGTTCACAAACCAGCAGTGAGAAAAGGAGTACTTGTGGCACCTTAGAGACTAACCAGTTTATTTGAGCATAAGCTGTAGCTCACGAAAGCTTATGCTCAAATAAATTGGTTAGTCTCTAAGGTGCCACAAGTACTCCTTTTCTTTTTGCGAATACAGACTAACACGGCTGTTACTCTGAAACCAGCAGTGGTTCACTCAAGATTTGCTTGTGCCTGAAAAAGTTATGCCAAAACTTTACATTTTTGTCAAATCCAGAGTGGTGTCACAAGGCCTTAGTGTGAATGAGAATCAGCCTGCTTGAGTCTGCTATTCACTTGTGCATTTTGAGTCTGAGGAATGATTCATAGATTCATAGATACTAAGGTCAGAAGGGACCATTATGATCATCTAGTCCGACCTTCTGCACAACACAGGCCACAGAATCTCACCCACCCACTCCTGCGAAAAACCTCTCACCTATGTCTGAGCTACTGAAGTCCTCAAATCATGGTTTAAAGACTTCAAGGAGCAGAGAATCCTCCAGCAAGTGACCCGTGCCCCATGCTACAGAGGAAGGCGAAAAACCTCCAGGGCCTCTTCCAAAATGCCCTGGAGGAAAATGAGATCTGTGGAAGGTCAATATGTGCACATCACAGAGGGTTTTCCAATTTGGCTACTACAGATGTGTCTGGAGTGCAACACTAGATCTGAACTTTCTTGAGTTCTGAGGAAATTCTGATATAAATCTGAATTTGGATGTGAGAAATTAATGGCTCAGACCTATCTCTGTAACAGATTGAGTATTTGGAAGTCTGCAGTTCTTGGGGACTCCTCAGTTCTGATCCAAATCTAGATTTAAACTTCATGGATCAGGCACATCTCCAGTGGCAACAAGCTCTACTCCTGGTTTCAGTATTCTTGTGTGAATTCATGCAAAATGTGTGTGATCCCAAATTTGAACATTGGAAAAATAGGTTTGTTCAGACCTTTTAGAAAATCAAGGCACTCAAACTCATGAGAACTGATTGATTACAGAACTAGTTCAAACTGAACTTGGAAAGGTTTTCATAACTCTAGTTGGAAGGTGATTTACCTATTTGATCCTTATATGAAGGATCATTGCATTTAGATTGTTGGGCTGGACAGACTTTTTCCAGTAGATTATACAACCTTTAAAATATTGGCTATGAAAACGAATTTTCACCTGCATCACCTTATCATTCTTATCTCCTTTCACATGCAAAGATAATGGATGGTACTACTTAATGGACGTTTCAAGTCAAAAGACTATGAAGCTGCCCTTGTTTATAAATGCAACACTATTCTAAGGTAATGGTCCCACACAATACAGCTTACAATGTATTATTGCAGAGTTTTGGACTGCATTACAATTGCATGACAACTTTTTTTTTAAAGAGTGGAAATTGGATTTTATGAGCACTTCCAGGATCTCTTATAGCATAAATTCCCCAAGACAGAGATACTACTTAACTCCTCTGCAGCGCCCAATAAAGGTGGCCAAAATTTTTGAAAACGACTAGTGATTTTCAGTTTCTCAATTTTTGGGTGCCTAACTTAAGATATATTAAAGAAGCCTGATTTTTTAGAAAATGCTGATCACCCATCTTGTTAAAATTAGGCCTCTTAAGATGTCTTGTTTTTGGAACCCCCAAAATGAGATACCTAAAAGAAATCTCTGGTCACTTTTGAAAATCTTAGTTGCTGTTCTTCCCTTTGATGATGCGTGCACATAACTGAAACTAAACCAAATCCTTTGAGCTTTGCTTATCACTGATTATCACCTGCAGAGTTGAGCCCAAAGTCAACCTCAGGTCCAAAACTCCTAGAGCACTGGGTTGTTTTAAATCTTGTTACAGATCCCAAGTCTGTGGCGCATGGCTATTTGTAGTTATTACCAGTTAGCAACTCTAAATACTTAACTCTTTTAAGAAGTGAAGGGTCAACAGCTTGTCAAACAATTGTTTCCAAACAACCACTCATTTTGTATGTTATCACAAGAGCAATTTGTGCATAGATAAATCCAGAATATGTTCAAGTGACCACTGTTCTTTGACAGAACACCGCAGAATGGATTAGAAGAACACCACAACCCAGCCACCGGTTTCCGTGTGGATGATGCACTGAGCAAGAGAAGCAGGGCCAAAATGAGAGCAGCCGCCTCACCCCATATGACTCAGTAATATATCAAATGATGATTTGTACTAACCTTATTGCTAACTAATTTTTGATTGAATGTCATCAAGCTCAGGCTAGCTTATGTGCCAACACTCATGTTGTAATCTTCCTGTGGGAGGAGCGGGGAAAGGGAATTTCACCAGAAGTCTTTGTAAATGTTGACACTCATCTTGGACCGCAGCTGGATCTCCAAGTAGCTGATTCCAGAATAGATAAATCATCTTAAACTAAGCCCCCACACCACTACCACCACCACCAAAAAACCAAACAAACCCCAAAACAACCACCTCACAAAAGCAAACAAAAAAAAATCACAGCCCCCTGAAACACTCATTATATTTCAGATAGGTCCTGAGATTTTCAGACTTGCATGGTCAAATGTTAGCTAAATACTTACTGTCCCAAATTAAATATTCTCCCATGCAGTCCCTCAGATTTAAATTCAAAGAATAAGGCGTGTGCCTACTGAGGAGTGCTGAGGAGAATAAATGGCTAAATGTACACACCTTGCCTCCTCTCAGCAGTAACCGGGAATACCTCTCTCATTGTCTAGTTCTACTTCCCTTCTGGCCTACCCCTTTCTGAGAAGAACCAATTGAAATTGTTATTTATTATGTGTTGGGGATGAAGGTAGAGAATGCTGTTCTCTATTTAAAAAAATGAAACCCAAAATTTATGCAAAAAGAAAAGGAGTACTTGTGGCACCTTAGAGACTAACCAATTTATTTGAGCATAAGCTTTCATGAGCTACAGCTCACTTCATCGGATGCTGTCAAGGTTCCTCCCCCACTCTGAACTCTAGGGTACAGATGTGGGGACCTGCATGAAAAACCTCCTAAGCTTATCTTTACCAGCTTACGTCAAAACTTCCCCAAGGTACAAAATATTCCACCCGTTGTCCTTGGACTGGCCGCTACCACCACCAAACTAATACTGGTTACTGGGGAAGAGCTGTTTGGATGCGTCCTTCCCCCCAAAATACTTCCCAAAACCTTGCACCCCACTTCCTGGACAAGGTTTGGTAAAAAGCCTCACCAATTGGCCTAGGTGACTACAGACCCAGACCCTTGGATCTTAAGAACAATGAACAATCCTCCCAACACTTGCACTCCCCCTTTCCTGGGAAATGTTGGATAAAAAGCCTCACCAATTTGCATAGGTGACCACAGACCCAAACCCTTGGATCTGAGAACAATGAAAAAGCATTCAGTTTTCTTACAAGAAGACTTTTAATAAAAATAGAAGTAAATAGAAATAAAGAAATCCCCCCTGTAAAATCAGGATGGTAGATATCTTACAGGGTAATTAGATTCAAAAACATAGAGAACCCCTCTAGGCAAAACCTTAAGTTACAAAAAAGATACACAGACAGAAATAGTTATTCTATTCAGCACAATTCTTTTCTCAGCCATTTAAAGAAATCATAATCTAACACATACCTAGCTAGATTACTTACTAAAAGTTCTAAGACTCCATTCCTGGTCTATCCCCGACAAAGACAGCATATAGACAGACACACAGACCCTTTGTTTCTCTCCCTCCTCCCAGCTTTTGAAAGTATCTTGTCTCCTCATTGGTCATTTTGGTCAGGTGCCAGTGAGGTTACCTTTAGCTTCTTAACACTTTACAGGTGAGAGGAGCTTTCCCCCTGGCCAGGAGGGATTTCAAAGGGGTTTACCCTTCCCTTTATATTTATGACAGATGCATACTGTGGAAACTGCAGAAGACATTATATACACAGAGACCATGAAACAATACCTCCTCCCACCCCACTCTCCTGCTGGTAATAGCTTATCTAAAGTGATCACTCTCCTTACAATGTGTATGATAATCAAGTTGGGCCATTTCCAGCACAAATCCAGGTATTCTAACCCTCCGCCCCCCCCCAAACTCACTCTCCTGCTGGTAATAGCCCATCCAAAGTGACCACTCTCCTTACAATGTGTATGAAAATCAAGGTGGGCCATTTCCAGCACAAATCCAGGTTTTCTCACTCCCGCCCCCCCCACACAAACTCACTCTCCTGCTGGTAATAGCTCATCTAAACTGACCACTCTCCTTACAATGTGTATGATAATCAAGGTGGGCCATTTCCAGCATAAATCCAAGTTTAACCAGAACGTCGGGGGGGAGGGGGTAGGAAAAAACAAGGGGAAATAGGCTACCTTGCATAATGACTTAGCCACTCCCAGTCTCTATTTAAGCCTAAATTAATACAATCCAATTTGCAAATGAATTCCAATTCAGCAGTTTCTCGCTGGAGTCTGGATTTGAAGTTTTTTGTTTTAAGATAGCAACCTTCATGTCTGTAATTGCGTGACCAGAGAGATTGAAGTGTTCTCCGACTGGTTTATGAATGTTATAATTCTTGACATCTGATTTGTGTCCATTTATTCTTTTACATAGAGACTGTCCAGTTTGACCAATGTACATGGCAGAGGGGCATTGCTGGCACATGATGGCACAAAATTTATGAGAGTTTGAAAAGCAATTTCCTTTTAAAATGCAAATTCCTAATTTTCCACATAAAAGTACAGGAATTAAGTGCTAAATTCTTCTTTGCTAGTGAGACCTTAGGGCTGAGACGAGGTATGAAAAAAAAAACGAGTTACTGTTTGGTTTCTATTCATGTCTCCTGAAAGCCAGTGTAAGTAAAAATGCACGGCAACAGTCCTGATTTTTTAATAAGCTTTCCTGTCGTTCTGATTGACTTTTAAAAAATGAACTCTTGTCCAGCTTTCTATGGGTGGTTCTGATTTTGTTCTGCCTGCACTGTATCACTTTTCTCCTGCTGCCATTAATCTTCCATGACTACTCCCCAGGGTATAGTTTCCCCCTTTTCTGGATGTATAGTTCCTATTAAATTAACAGGCATTCTTTGCCTGGGTGGAGGGAACAATACACCTCTATATCTGCCTTGTTGCAAAGGGAGATTTTTGCTGGTCACTGAGAGGAAGTATTAACTTTGAAGGGCCAAAGTAAAGTGGTGAAGACCAATAGCAGAGCAGAAGCAGGAGGCTGTTTTAAAAAAAACTATTTATAATTTAAAACAAAATGGAGGACAGCTCAGCGGTTGTGTTCTACAGTTATGTGGGATGACTCAGATCTAATTTATTCTGAGTCTCATTCCCCTCAGAGGCTTAAATGGAAAAATCTTATCATATTCCTTAACAGTGAACTCTTTGATCAATTAAAGAGTGTGTTGATGACCTTCAAACGAAATCCCATAAATCCTTAAAGGAAGGATGGTGGCTGCAATGTGAGGCCTTGAAGTGAGCAGATGACCTTATAAAATATACTACAGTAACTAAATATAGTAAAATAAATATACTACATTTAAATAGACTACAGAAAAGTAAATATAGTATAGGAATGGCCTCAAGCAGCGTATGCTACAGTAATGTTACTGTCATGTTTTGGACCATTATTGTAGATACTGTAATCTTTCAGCTTTTTTTTTAAAGGCTAGAAGGGATGATTAATGGACGCTAAAAACATTCCCCCCAAGTTTATTTTCTTTTAATTTAAACACTCTCCCCCTTGTAATTCATGGAAAACCAAGTTTGTCTATGAAAGCATTGCATGGATGTGTTAGGCCAGTGGTTCTCCAATGGTTTCATTCTGTGAATCACTTCACAAGGGAGATCTACTCTCCTGCACCACTTTCCATGGCCACACCCAAATCTCTCACTGCATGGTTCTCAAGATGTGTCATTCAGTGGACCACCAGCAAGAGCTCCACAGACTTTTGGGCAACGGTTTGAGAACCAAGGTGGTGGCCAGATAAGAATTTCTTGTGTAAAGTTTTGATTATTATATAATTACCATACCATTTCCCCTCTGATGTTTTTCTTTCAGCAACAAATTTATTTTTATGCTTTGCATTCATCTGAGTATCTCTGACAAAGCTCTGTTGTTCATTTGTATTTATATATATCTCATAATTATCCTAAATGGTGCTCTAGCTGCCTCTGACACCAAACTCCGCACACTCGTTTTAAGCTTTGCCTTGTCCAATTTGCTTAAAGTGACCAGGCAAATACATACAAATAATTCAGTTATAAGCAAAATTAACTAATGCTCTTTTTCATGGTGAGATGCTGTAATGGTTTTATAGAGCAGTCAGACTATTTAAATACTAATGCTGCCTTCATGCTGTAATCACCATTCCAGTCAGATGTCATTTTTAGCAGCCTATAGGGAATCCCATCCCTTAATTATTCTTCAATACACAAACCAAGCATTCTTTAATTGGTGTAAATTGAACAGCGTTCCAACGCAAACAAGGCGCGGACAAACTAATCAATGATTCTGTGCATGTCTATTGGAAAGCTATTGCCATTAGATCAAGTAACTAATCCTCAACTTCATTAGCTTTGGTGGAATGATGGGGGAAAATAGTGCTCATGCTACTCCTTCTTATCAATCAGGATTGGGAAGCATGGGGCAAATCAGGATTCATAAACTCCAGGTTTTTTTAAAGTGCTAATGGAAATTTTAAATGCAGATGAAGTTTCAACTTCAGAATCTTCATTCAGAAGCCTTTGATAGGGATTCATGTGGAAACAATATGTTTTTAACCTCTGCAGGCTCTAGGCCTATGGTTTGTTTGTTTGTTTTATTAAATTGGAAAGATAATAGAACAATTTTTTTCAACTTGTCAAGTAATTTTTTGGCGAATTTTCTTCCTCTGATAGAGTATGATCCATCTATTCATGTGTATTCCTACTGCAATGCACGATGATGTGTGGTTCTCCCTTTTCTTTTTTTTTAATATGATCTGAAACAAAGGTGCCGGATTTAAGAAACAGATAAAAAAAATCCATCTCATAAATGTGTCATATTCACTTTTCAGTCTTGTCTCTTTTTATCAATTCTCTAAAACTGATTATTTATTACTGGAGACGGAACAAAAGAAAGCAAAAAGGCCCATTACATACCTCTGCCCCAGATCTGCCAGTCTTATACTTCTAGGTAGTGCAGCAAACTAAGCTGTGCTGG